TCTGACTTGTCACACTACTGAGTTGGCTCTTTAGTGCACCACTGGCCCTCCCTTCTCTACACCCTCCTTCTGTAGGGAGTATGGCCAGGGGATACCTGTGTCCCCTACTATGCCATCTCAACTTCTATTAATTCACCTTACCATAGCACAGACTGGGCTTCTAACATTTATTAAGACTTTACTGAAGATTCCTAGTGTTAAAAATGATTAAAGAAAACAATGTAGGTGATACAAATAAACTTTATTTAACACTTTATGAAGCAGATAGTCTCCATTTGGAGAATTCCAAAATGAGCTGGAAGGCAGGAGGCTTTTATAGAATGAAGAATAAAAATAAAGGAGGAAAAAAATTAAAAATATCTGATTGGCTGGGGCCACATGATCAACCTTGTTTAGCATGAATAGGAACAAGAAACTAAGTGTAGAGCCAAGGCTTGGTTTGGTGTTCGAGAATTGGCTGACTGGACATACTGCATTTCTGGTCTAGCAGAGCATTTATAGGGGCACAAGGAATCCAAGTTTTTATTTGTTGACATGCCACACGGGGGAAGAGTGGCTCTATCTTGGGCCTAGAAATTTATTACAATATAAACAAAGGAGGGAAAAATAGAATACAGGAAGACCCCTTCCTCCCTCCCTTCCTTCCTTCCCTCCAGTGAATAACTAATACTACCCACTAAGTGCCAGGCATGTGGAAGTAAAAACAGATGTGGTTCCTGCTCATGGATCCTACAGTCTACTACAGGCGATGTACATTAATTAAATATGTGATCACTCAAATAAAAGTCATTGTAAGTTGACAAATGCTTTGTAGAAAAAGTACAGTCACAGATGAAGAGCTTAGTCAGTCTGGGGAGTTAGGACAAGATTTCTTGTGGAAGAGTAGAGCTGAATGCTTAAGGATTAAATGGGCCTTCAGAGGCTAAGGACGACAGAAAGTGCATTTGATACTGAAGGAACAGCTTGTGGGAAGGCCCTGAAGCAGGGAGGGTCTGACTCTATTTTGAGGAACTGAAAGAACTGTCTGAGAGGGAGCATGATAGGAGAGCAGAGGAGAAACTTAGGTAAATAGATCATGGGCAGAACCATAAGGGTTTTAAACAGAAGAGTGGCATGGTCAGTTGTGAATTGCCTGAGTAGAAATGCCAACCCTCTAGGCCTGGGGGGGATAGAGGGCACAAACTTCAAACAACAGGCAAAATAACAACAAAATAATAAATTAAAAAGCAAGCTAGGAGTAAAGCAATTTGCTAGAAAAAGAAATATGGACTTTGTAAACTGGATACATTTTATTTTTAAGGTATTAAAAAATAAGCAATGTCCACACAAAACTGTATACAAATGTTCAAAACAGCATTATTCATTATAGCCCAAAAGTGAAAATAACCTAAATGTCTATTAATTGATAAAGTCATAAATAAAACATGATATACCCATACAATGGAATTATTTGGCAATAAAAAGAAGTGAAGTATTGATATATGCTACAACATGCATGCCCCTTGAAAACATTATACTAAGTGGATGAAGTGAGACATGAACAACCACATATTCTATAGTTCCGTTTACATGAAATGTCCAGTATAGGCAGATTTAAAGAGGCATATAATAGTGAGTAGTTGCTTAGGGTTGGAGATGAGGTAGGGGATTGACTGCTAATGGGCTTTCTTTTAGGGAGGACAAAATCATCCTAAAATTAGATTTTGGTGATTATTGCACAACTTTAAGAATATATAAACTAAGTAAATAAATTGTACACTTTAAGTGGGCAAATTGTGTGATGTCTGATTATATCCCAATGGAGCTGTTAAAACATAATTTTTAAAAGAATCAATAACTAGGGATACCTGTGGAAATGGATCTCAAGCCTAACTTTCTTCTCATTTCATATTCGTTGTAGTCCAAATAATTGACCACAATGGCCTTTTTGCTAGGGTGAGTTGGGAGGACTATGACTTTATTAACACATGTTAGAATGGTAAAGTTGAGCCATTGTTTATCTAAATTAACAGCACCAAGCAGCTGTTTCAGTTAATCAGTGTAACTGCAAAAGTCACCATGAGTGCTCAGTTCTTTCAGCATTTTAAAAGAATGGTCTTAATTTGTTAAAAATAATACCTTTTCTCTTTTAGCACTTTCCTTTTAAAATGTAACCCTATACCCCTGGCTGGTGTGGTTTAGTGGATTGAGTGCCAGCCTGCAGACTGAAAGGTCACTGGTTCTCCGTCAGGGCACATACCTGGGTTGTGGGCCAGGCAATCGATTGATGTTTTTCTTCCTTCCTTCCTATCTCTCTAAAATGAATAAAATCTTTTTTTTTAAGTAACCCTATAAGGTTTCTTAAAATATGATTTTCATTAAAATTGTTAGATCAGCTTTAAGAGATTGCCTTTTAAACATTTATTTTCTATTTTTAAAATCCTTATTAGAAGCCCTGGCTGGCATAGCTCAGTGGATTGAGCGCGGGCTGCGAACCAAAATGTCGTAGGTTTGATTCCCAGCCAGGGTACATGCCTGGGTTACAGGCCATAACCCCAGCAACCACACATTGATGTTTCTCTCTCTCTCTCTCTCTATCTCCCTCCCTTCCCTTTCTAAAAATAAATAAATAAAATCTTTAAAAAAATCCTTATTAGAAATAAATGAATCATTATTAAATACATCATAGGTTCAAAATGGCTACAGAGAAAGGGAATATGAAGTTGAGCAGGTGGTAATACTTTTGCTTTTACATTCTGAGAAGGCCAAGGTTTTTTAGGGAAGCATTCCTGGTATCTGCATTAACAAGTTTCATAGTTTCTCAACTCCTGTGTGTATGCGCATAGATTTAATTTGACTTGTGCTGTTGACTGTTAGGATTTCATAAAAATTCATTTCATTTCCCTTTCCAGATTTTGTCTTACTGTTGTGTGTATGCCGAAGTGTAATTCAGGCTCAACCACTTGGGTGTTGGCTGGTTAAGTTCCACTTTGTTTTATGTATGAGGAAGCTGAGACTCAAGGATGATAAGGTACCTTGATTGGTTGTCTCACCAGTTACTGAAAAGTTTTCCAGTTGGAACTCAACTCTCCTGATTTCTCTTTTAGTAAAATATCTTCGTTTTCTAGCTTCCAACCTCTATCTTTTCAAGTGTTACACTGAAGAATAAATATCTTCATTGAACATCACTTTTTTTTTTAGAATTGGTTTAGAATTGTGTTTTTTTTTTTAAGTATTGATCTATTAAGATTAGAAGAGGTGGTTATCCGTGTGGTATAAATGGAGGGAGAAAAAAAATTTAAGGCAACTTTTCTTTTGGGCCACTTGTTTTCTCAAGTTAACAACAAAAATCCAATTTATTGCTCCTATTGTAATTAAATAACAATAAATGTGTCCAGATCTTTTTTTAACAAAAGGCAGCAAATAGCACTAGGACTCTGACTTAGTGGATTTTAGAAGAGGAATGCCAAGGTCATTGGAAATTAAATCTTTCAGGATTGTCTCTCACATGGACTACCAAGTCTCTTAATCTCCTTGCTTCCTGTGTGGCCTTCTTAGGATCCATTCTCTGCAGGTGAAAGAAAACATAGGTATCTCTCCCTTATTAAAACTCTCCAATGCTTTCCACTGCACGCAGAATAAGCTTCCAATTCCTTTCTTGGCTTTCAGAGCCTACAGGATCTGGCCAATGGTTGTTTACTTCTCGGAGTTTATTTTTTCTTACTTTCTCCTATTTCCCTCCTCAAACGTAATTTACGGCCTTTGAATTAGTGTCTTACTTTGCTTGGAACTCTTTCTTCTGATATTTGTTATACAAATTACCATTTCAGTGTCTCCTCCTCAAAAGGGCCGCATAGCCACCCAATTACAATCACCATCACATCACTCATATATGTTTATTTCCTTTGTATAGAGCGTAACGCCAAAAGATATTTTTCCTTTCTTCTCTCTCCCACCTTCCCTTCCCTATAAGCTCCTTGGACCCTAGACTTATTTGTCTTCATCGCTGCTGAATTGACAGCCTGGAGTAATGACTAACATATGCAGGAACTCAACAAACATTTGCTGAGCAAATGAACATATGAACACACCCTTTCTTCCCTGCCGGTCTCCCGAGAGGGCAGAACTCATAACGAGGATACTCTTAAAAATGTCTTTTTTACGTATCATGTATTTCCACTCTTGAGGAGCAGATGTCCTTGAGGAGACTACACTTGATTTACGATTCTAAGTGGAAATAATCACACACTAGCTTTTTAATCTAGGGTTTGCTTTCTCGGTGACCAATGCGTTTACTTCCCAACTCCAAGGCCGCGTAAAGATGTCCGGGTGAGCAATAGGGCCCAGAGATTCCTTGTGGAGGTTTAGATGGGCCGTAGGACTAGTGCGCTGAGTGGTCCTCCTTAGAGATGCTGAGCAGGGGCGGAGCTACCCGGGAAGGGTGAGCCTTACGCGAGCGCTCAGATTTGGTGCGGGTGCCGCTTTGGAAAGGGTCCGGGAAATCAGAAGAGAGCAAAGCTCATCTGTAGCGAAGGACTCCCTCGGACCCTAAAGGGTAAGACTAAGGTCGAAGGAAAGGAGGCAGGGCCTGAAACCAGACCTGCTCAGCAAGACAAGGATTGGTATTTTGCCAAAGGAAAGGGTTAAGTGGTTTCCGAGGAAACGGATCAGGAAGCGCGCAAGACGTTCGCCGCAGGTTCGTAGGTCAGCTTCGAGTTTAAAGCTCCCACGGCTGTGCGGGTTCTGGCCAATGGAGAGGCCGCCTCCGGGTCACGTGACGCGAGGGCCCCACTCCGCGTGCTGCCGTGGAGCACGTGGGAAGGTTTATCATTTTCTTTCTTTGCTTTTCAATAAACCCACCCACTTTTACGCGGGCTTGGTCACGGAGTTCTTCTCGCGAGAGTGGGTGGGAAGCGTGGGGGCTAGGTAGTGTTGCGGGCTGCAGCTGCGGCGGCAGCAGCGGCGGAAGCCGGGGGGGGGGGCCTGGGCGGGGGCGGGCCACGGGGCGGGGAGGGTGGGGTGGGCCCGGGGCCAGTGCGGGTGGGGCGCTCGCCTACTCTGCAGCTCGCGCGGCTGGTCGTTGCCGGCTGGTGTTATGCCTTTGAGCTGTGGAGGCTGCGGTCCTCAGGTGAGCCGAGTGCGGATCTTCTCGCGGCGTAAGCTTCGGGTGGCGGCAGGGTGTGGGGCCGCGATGGATGGAGCGGCCCAGTTCCGGGACCCCTGCCCTCTGCCTGCCTGCAGTCCTTGCTCTGACTTCGGGGCTGCGTAGAACTGCGTCTTCGCTGGCGATGGGAGGAAGACCAGAGGAGCAGGGCAGAGGGAGTAAACCTGGGGCCAGGGGCGGGGGTGTTCAGGGGATCGAGCCGAGTCTTCCAGGGGCCGGGAGTGTGGCCAGGAAGCTGCAGTGCCTCTGAATGACAAGTTTAGTTGAGCCGTGTTCCCCCGGTGGGTGGTGGGGCGTGTGCCTAGTTTGCGTTCGTGGTGCCTGCCCGGGGGAGTGTGCAGGAGGGAGAGGACGTCGCACTTTGTCCCGGAACAGCAGCATCCTTCACTGTCAGAACTCTTGGGCGCCGCAACCAGGCGCAACTCAAGTCTGTGACAGAAACAGAAGGCGTCAAGCAGCTCCTCCGAGTGTTGAAATCTGTATTTTCTCTAAGGCTATTAATGGCTTAAATGCTGGCCATCCAATATCTGAATGGATTGGATATATCGTCTGTTATTTCAGGCACCTAAACTGCTTTATTAAAAAAAAAAAAAAGCTTACGAAACGTGACCGAAAGTCAGAAAAACGTTCGCAAAATGACTATGGGAATGGAATCTAAACTACCACCGTGGTACGATTTGGTAACAACTCTTTTCTACTGCTTACCCTGTCCTCTAAAAGCTTATTAAGCTGAAGGTGATTTATCTTAAGATGTTAAGGAAATTGCAGGATGAGAAATACTGCTGAGACATCTAACGGCCTTAGTGGTAACACGAGTTAAAAATTCTGGTTCTCTTCTCAGCTTTGTAGTTATTCAGTACCTTTTAAAACATGTGAGTGTTTTTTGGCCTCGTTAGAGATGTTACAGTGATTGATACTGATTTTATTATGTGTGGAAATACTCAAAGACTTCTCAATAATGCAAAGATGCTTTTAACGCCTTGTTTACCATTTTAGAGGAAATGGAAGCACAGTTCCCAGTATGATTAGTGACATTTAAAATGGTGCAATTTATTGAATCTTTTTAAACACACAGTCACTTTTTTTTCAAGCAGTGTCTGGTTTTCATACTTTTTATGTTCTTCCTAGCAGCACTGATGCAAGGGTTGACAGTGAATTTCACTGTTAGTTGTAACTGTTAACAGCAGTTTATGAGAGATTAAAGAATGTAGGGTAGTCAGAACAAATGGGATTCCAAGCCAGACTGGTAACTTGTGATTAGTGTATGTACCCACGTAACTGCATTATTGATAAGGGCTAGTGTCATATGTCCCAGTCATTGAGAATATGGGGCATGCCAAAGACGAACCACAGATTCACCCGCTTCTGAACTCCCGGGTAAGTCTAGAAGCTGAAGCCCTTTGCCTTGAGAGGCTATAAGGAGCGTTTATTTAATATGTATATGTGTACCTATTATATGTATTTTAATTCTAGGAACTTAGTGCCTGGAAAAGGGAATCAAACCCAGTCAGATGATACATTATTGTTCCTTTTAAGGGAAGTTTTCACTTAAAAATAATGGAGTTCTGTTTACACTTGGAGAAAATGTGAAAAACTTAGGAAATTTTTTTTTGAGAAATGGGAAAAAGAGACTCATCTATATTAAAAAAAGTGTCTTCCCATTCTGTATTGGCAAACTGATTTTCAAAAATAGAAAAACAGAATTTTTTTTGCTGGTCTCTAAACCTTTTGGCAAGGGTGTCAGGCTTTTAGGATATAAGTATTAGTTGTTTTGTTTTGTCCTTGAAAAGTAATAGAAGTAACTTTGGGTAGGATAATTATTTAGGTATGCTGAATTTGCTCTTTTTCTGTCAAGTCACCTGCTTTCTAGTAAGAAAATCACTAGGAGGGAACAAGCAGTGGGGGCAGGTCAGGAGAAGGGGACAGCTGGGCCTGGGCTGGAGTTAAGGGTGTATAAACTGGTGAAGTGGGGAAAGGAAAGAAAATTACTAGTTTAAAAACAGACCAAACAGATCCATATGTACTCATTCTGCCCTCTTTATATATAAAAGTTCAATTTATTTAAAGCTATTGACTAGAAGTTAAGACATTTGAAATATAGGGTGGGCAAAGGTAGGTTTACTGTTGTTTGTATGGAAAATAATAACACAAGAATAAACTGTTTTGCATACTCACAACTGTAAACCTACTGTAAACTGTAAGCCTCACCCTGTATATATACATTAGAAACTTAGAATGATAAAAGGAGAAAAGTTAACATGGGGAGAAATAAATAATGTAGTGGCCTGAAACAGAGGATTTTTACTTGAGTGAAAATGAGGTATATTGCAACGAGTTTGGGCTTTGGAATCTGGCAGATCTGTTAATATTGCTGAGCCTCTTTCTCCTCACCCTGAAAAGAGAGTTAAAGCACCTAAAAAGTTATTGTGAAGCACAAAGTAGCTGCTTTCTCAGTGTTTTTCTTTGACCTCTTTTAATTAAGGCTTGAGGATTATTTGGCTGCAAGGAGCAGAAACGCACTCGAATTGACTGACTTAAAAAAGGTATTTGTCAAACAGTTGGAGGACCACCTTTGAAGTTATTGCATGAAGACTCAGTGTTTTGGGAACCAGAAAATCTTCAGGGGGTTAGTCTTCCAGTTTTTCTCTGGAAAACACGTGCCCTTACGTCTCTGCTACTCAGTTCTCTTTTACTCTGTACTCTGTTAATGTCTGTTCTAGTTTTTCTTTTTTTTCCCCAGATGTCCCTCTCTTTAAAGATCTTGGTTTCTACTTCCCTACAACTTTGGTTTGCATGAAACTTTGATTTGTCATGGTGCTAACACCAGACTCACTTTGATATTGCAGTTCTCAACGAATACCTTTATATCTTAGTCCTGAATTTCTGAAGAGAGATCCCAGTTGGTTAAATACCCACTTCTAGTCCATTAGCTGAGGGGGAAGAAAGATGGGAATGGGAAAATGGATGGAGAGGAGACTTCAGTGTGTCTCACAGTTGGTACTTTTTTAGAGTGGGTACTGAAAGTTTTTTAAGAAAGAGGTGTAGGCAGGGAGGAAATGAAGGGTATCTCTGGTATATTTAATGCACTGCAGTTTTAAGTTTTTCTCTTAGTACTGCATTGAACTTGCTCACAGCAGTGTTCTCAGGACAGAGTCTCCTAGGTGTGTGAGTTAGGACAATATGTAACTGATTTGTGCCTCATTTTCCTTAGATGCAAAATGGGTATGATAACAGTAACTTCCGTTGTGAGAAATATGAATTCTGTTTAACAGCATTTAAACAGTGCCTGGCTGGCACTATGTAAGGATATATATATTATTACTGAGCACATATTTTGGGAGGTACTGTGATAGGGGCTTCTACAGCATTCAGAGATGAAAGAATGTAATTTCTGCCCTCAGGAGTTTAGAATTCTAGTGATGACCACTCCATACTAAAAACTGCATCTTGCCTTTTAATGACACTAAATTCTTACAAATCTACCTTGCCTGTTTTCATACTCCTATTTATGTGTGGTTCTTAGTTTACCTGTCTAGGAACCTTTATTATGGTTGTCCCCTTAGATTGTCTCTGATCCTCTCTTCTTTCCCAGTCTCTGGGATCAGCTTTCAAACTCTGTATATGCAGGTGATTCCTCAAGTAACGTCTCTAGTTCTGACCACTCCAACAGATTGTGTATTATTTAGGATATTATATTGACATCAAACACTATCTTTCAGTTACCCTGTAATTGGCAAAAGTTCAACTTTCCTTCCAGCTCCTCAGGCTTGGAACTTTTCTTTTTTTTATGCCTTTTGTATCTTATCAGTTAATAGGTTCTGCAAAGGCTTCTAGAATTTTTTTTTTTTTTTTTGTCCCAAGCACTGGACCATCTGCAGAGCAGATCTGTGCATTCATCCCTGCTACTGGCAGCTTAGGATAGAGCCTTATTACTATTTGCAAGAGCTGCTTAAATACTTTTCAGCAATAAAGTCTTTTAAGTCAAGGAGTCATAGATGTCACTGATTAAGAGAAATGTGTCCTTCAGTTAAAATTCTGACCTTATTGTTTGGTTAAAAGTAAGCTTGTAGATGGGGACAATAAGATTAATAACATGATTTCAACTTCTAGGCTATATTCAGAATATTCACATTGAAAGCCAGCCTTAAGATTTAAATTCTTTTTTCTTTTTATAGTTGTGTTTATTGTTGGAGTACAGGAAGTTCTGGAGTCATAGCAGTTCACACTTAGTGCTTTCTCAATTAGACCCATGTTATTATTTAAATATCAATTACTGGCAAGATTCAGACATACTTTAGAAGTAGATTCCAACCTGGAATGCAGTAAGAAGATCAGTAACTTTTCTCCATTTTCTCTTTCTTTGAGAAAACAAAGGTGGCAGAACAAATATCCTTGCATTAATTTTTCAGCAAGTCATTAGTTAGGTGTCCCATACTATTTTATCTTTAAAGATATCAGTCTTCCCACCAAACGCTCCTCGGAAATTCATCTCCTTGATGAAATTTTCCTTTGCCTTACAGCTGGTTCAACTTGTAAATATATGTTTATGTATTATTATGGGTAAGGCCTTTGGGGAATGCTGAGATGAATAAGGCATGGCCCTAGAGTGTAAGCTCCATGAGAACAGGGATTTTTCACTGCTGTCTCCCAATCACTTACTTAGAGTTGAATGTTGTTAGTATTTACAATTCAGAGCATGTATGAAATTGCAACAATGTAAATATAACTGTTACTTAGGCACCTTAGTCTCAAGTGTCAAAATAGAGCAATGGCAATTGTGTTTCTTGCTTCAGGCTCCTCAGATATTTGGTGATGTTTGGGGACATTTTTAGTGCTACTGGCACCTAGTGGGTAGAGGCCAAGGATGCTGCTAAATGTTCGACAGTGCATTGGAGAGTCTCCACAACAAAAAATTGTCTGACCCCAAAAGTCCATAATGTTGAGATTGAGGAATCCTGTAGAGG